CCCCCCCCCCCCCCTTGTGCTGTAAACCCAAGTCCTTTCCCGTTATTTTTTTTCCGCCAAATATTTGGCTAATTCTGAAGTGATTTTTTTTTTCTTTTTTGTGCGTCGGTTAATTTTGAAAGCATTATTTTCTTATGCATTTGAATGCCTCATCATTATCTGTGAATGCGAGACAAGTTCACTTTCAATGCATACGCATATGGGTCAGTCTCATTTGGTGATATTTGAGTTCAACTTAATCTCTTTCCTTCCTCCTGACTGTTCTATCAAAGAGAGTCTTCATACTTCTTAAGACAAACCATCTGCTTATCATTCAATTGGGCTTGGGCTTGGGCCTATTATTTTTCAATTTGAAGCCTCATTTTGTCTTTTTGGATTCTCATGAAATGGGCTGTGCTTCAACACCAAAGATTACGTCCATGTGACATTCATTGGTATGCCAAAATTGAGGCCATATATTCGAGGTGGTGGTTGATAGTTAATTGTTGGCTTGTGTGACATGGTGTATGGTATTAACCAAATAAGCCTACAATTATAAGAATATATCCTTCTAAAAAAAACATTTGGATTGGATTGTATGTGTGTGTTTGTGGAAGAAGTAAAGGGTTTTGAGAAACCCCATTTGGTTCTAAGTCCTCCCCTCCCCAACCCTGCCCTTACGTGGTTTGAGAAATCATTTTCGTGAGGCCCACCACGGGCAGACCACTGCGCGTACTTGAGTCCTCACATCCTTCTCTTGGAAGGGTTGGAAGGGTTGGAAGGCCCCATCCCCAACTAAATATATATCTTCTTTCGTTTATCAGATTGCGGTAACTACACGTGGTGTTCGCGAGTACAATATAATTTTGCAGACAAAGTTAAGACATGGGAATCCCAAACTCAGCTTGCTTTTGAAACATATGCCATTTAATCCGATATTTTACACCTCCCTTTTTCCTTTCATTCGGGACCATCTCTATATATATTTATATTTTCTTTTCTGGGTTTGGAGGTTTCCTACGACAAAATCATTGTAATCCCAACACACCTTGCTTTTTGTTTACTGAACATGACACTCCAAGATTGAGACGCTTACTCAGTGTGGCTCTTCGAATTGTCATTTTCATCTTCTTCCATCATTCTTTCTTCTTCTTCTTCTTCTTCTTCCCCTCTCCGATACACTTATTCATATTCTCTACTCTCAACATGAGCTTTCATGATTTTACTTTAAGACTCATGATCATTCTCTTAATTAGCCCGGGTGAAATTCTCATATTAACTTTGTTATAATCTTCTCCACTTCTAAGTCACGCAATAAAAAAATAATAATTAAGGTCTCTCGAGGGTTTGAAGTGATGACTGTGAGAGACAGAGAGAGAGGAAGATAAGGTGAAGAAGAAGATGGTGGATAAAATGGCGGCTAGTGAGTGAGTTTTTTGTAATTATGCAAAAGTGATGGGAGAGTCCCATATGGACCCTCTTCTCCTTTATTTATTTTATTTTTTCGATTTCTGTTGTTTTTGTCGTCACCCTTTTAATTACCTTCCCTATGTTCATTCAACCGCTCATTCCATAATAATATCTATTTGGCTCCATTCATATCAATTCCCTTTCCCAAAGTACCATTCTAACCTTCCAGATTCCTTCATTTTTACATTCCTCAATTGCTCAAAACCACAAAAATCTTCACACATCTTTACAATTTGTCTCTCACCATTTCTTACAAACCTTCAAATAAATATACACCTCCCCACCTCCCACCTCCCCTCGAACAAATACGTACTCCTTTTTTTTTTTTTTTTTTTTTG